ACACACACACACACCTTTTTCATATCTATTAATATCTAAGTGCTCACAGGTGGTCTGCCTGTGAAGTGCACAGAATAACACAACCCTTGGTTTCAGCCCGCTGTACATCAAATGAACCGTAAGCACCTTTCCCCTTTTCCCTCATTTGTTTTTTTTTTTCTTTTCTGTTTTTCTTTTCAGCCGTCACCCTCCCTTTACCGGCACCCCCACCCCCACCCCATTCCTTCCTTCCTACCTTCTTTTTCTCTCTTGTGTTCCTTTCTGGAGAAACCTGTTTAACCCTTGACATCTCTGTGGCTTTGGTCATTTTGTGGTCTCGATGCTCAAGAAGTTGCTGAGATCGAGGTGATGTCACAATGTTGCTTAAAAGAAGCCCGGGTAAGAAACACGAGCAGTCAGATGTGCACACCGGTTGTTAACAAATAAAGTGCCATCTGTCGTTAAACGTAATTGGAAGATAGAGCTCACAATTCAAATATGCTCTAACTGTGTGTTGTAAACATCCATCACATTGCAGGCTGTTTCCCTGGTTCAGCATTAATCTTTGACATAGCTGTTATCGCCACACTGTTTTCCTGTGCAGGGAGGGATGGTTAATAACTTCTTCATTAAAGCCATTGTCACAAGAGTTGTTTAGCTACTATCACTAAGCGATTGCCTCGTTTTAACCTTGTCCTATTACTTGTTTCCTGCCCTGGTGGCTTTGTTGTAGCAGCATTGCCATGTTTCCAGATCTGAGCAAGTCCTTTTGTAAGTTTAGTGCTTTAATAACTGTAAACAATTATTATTCAACGTGTACTTTTGTAAATCTGTTATCTTCAGAAAGCAAGAAGAGCATCAGTCCATTTAGACTTTAAATTCTCATCTTAAAGTAGTGTTGATAATGAAAATACAAAATGGATCAAGTCTGTGCTTTAAGTTTTTGTCTTGTTGAAAGGTGAATGTTGCCCTTCTCTCTACCCCTTAGCAAAAACATGTTTTACCACCAGGCTCCAATGTGAGGTTGGTATTAACCAAGTGATAAGCAGTTCCCCTGTGTCCGCCAGACATAGTGTTTGGGGGTTCAGTTTTTGTCCCATGTCCGGGATTCCTTGTCCTCATGCTCTAGTTTATGGGCTCTATTAGCAGTAATTGAACATAATCATGATAATGTGTGATGTGTTATCACCTGAGAATCACTGGGCACAGTTATGAAACCTAAAGGTAACACAGGACACGGTCGTCTTCAGGTGGGCCGCAGTAAGGGAGTGAGAGTCAGTAAGCTGGTTGCAATCTGAAGCCCCACCGCTGCGTGTCAGTAAATCCTGCTCACTGGACCTTGAAATGCTGTTTGGCAAACTCAAAGTGAGTTGTCATGTGCTTTTGATTCAAAGTGGTTTCCATCTAACCACGCTACCATGAAGCCCCGGTTGATGAAACACTGCTTAGGTAGTAATCCTTCCGATAGGTTCTTCCTTCTCTGCAGAGCTCTGTGATCATTGGGTTGTTGGGTGGGCAGCCAACTGCAGGAAGAGTCGTGGTGGTTTCAAACCTTCTTCCATTTCATAATAATTGAGGCCATTGAGCTCCCGGGAACACTCATAGCGCTGCAGTTTTATCTCAGAGTTCTTCATGGCTTGGTTTTTGCCATGTGCCAATGTGAACAATGGGACCTGATACTTTCCAAACTACTCTGTTTTCAATCAGTTCAGTTTGTTCGGTGACTTTAATCACATTCTAGACACGTCAAGAATAAAACAACAGACAAAAACACAATTTCTCACCACAACACAGAATCCTATTGCCTATTATTTGACTATTATGATTGTAAGAGTGATAAAATTGTATTCACCTAAATCTATGTTATGTTATATATGTCCGACATATGTGTAAGTACATAGGGAGAGACACATGGAGTCTTGTCCTTATTCTCAAATAGGCAGCCATGAAGACAAAGCCCTGTCTTACGACGGATAGTCTGTCATTTGTGCGTTGGGCAAATTTGCTCTGAAGTTTATGCATCCTGGTAACAGTAAAGCTATCTGAATCCCCCAAGCACTCCATCTTGTAGGCTTTATGTCTTCCACATGGTTATAATTTGACATTTTCTCTATTTTCAAAGCTTTTTTGGAGCCCAGTGTTGTTAATTAAAAAGTGGACTAGTTTTGTTGTGGCCTTTTGTGTTGCCAAGTAGGGAAATCACCGCCCACTTTGTTGCTCTCTCCATTTCTTTCTCTGCTTTTCTCTCTCTCCCTCTCTCTTCTACTCCCTTGTCCCATCTGCCTTTGTCAAGAATAAAGCTAGCCCAACCACTTTGTAAATGAAACATCCTCCCACTATTAATGGGATTGAGCAGATGTTTTGTGTTTGGATGGTCAGAGATGGGACAGTAAACCCTGCAGCAAAACAAAACAAAAAGATTTTTGGGCCACAAAAAAAAACATAAAGCAAAAGCAGATATTTATGGAAATGATTATATCACTTCCCTCATGTCCCATACAGACGCATGTCTCGCGCACATGGCAAATTAGAGGTCATCCCTTCCACTTTAGCGCATGTCTATGTGCGTGTGCCAGTGATTTCGGTACTAAAACATCGTAAATAACACTGTAACCCCTGGGACGAGGTGTTATAAATAGGACGTGTCAAACCCTGCTCCGGCCAACCTCTGGTTTCCCCGAAACCCTTTCTTTTCACCCGCCATGCGGCTCAGCTACTTTTTAATTTGGCCTTCCCGCGGGCTAACCAACTGACGCCTCTCGGTGAGGCCCTCTGTATTTCAACAACGCCACAAAAGCCCCAGTGCTCGGGCACTCGCACTCACAAAGCTGTCCAGCCTTTCTAAGCTGTTACTTTTTTGGAGCCCAGACTCTACCATCAGCAGAAGAGAAATGCTGGCTCTGGCCTGAAACCAGCGGCCAAGTCTCATCTGTCAGAAACCCCAGGGGCCAGACTCTCCAGCCACTGGGTGGGCGGGGCCCGTCCAAAACACAGAGAGGAGGAAGAAAGAAAGAGTGGGGTGTAGGAGGGGAGAAAAGGTTTGAGATCGAGAGGAAGCTCCCAGATAAACAGGCCGCAGCGCCTCAACTCCTAATCACCCTGCGCTTCCGTTTCCAGACTCTATAATTAGAAGGGCCCCGTCCCTTTTTTCTCTGTATTCCCAGTTGACGCAAATGCTTCTTGTGGCTTGGCACCTCATTTGGGGCGTGGGTTTTCAAGAGTTTACAGGCCCTGGGCCTTAGCTCTCTGGCTTTCTGGTCGCTCTGATACAGCATGAATAGCTAACCACTGTCTTAAAGCACACTTCACTTGGCTTCTCTTTCTTCCCTCCACCTCTGATAATCTTCATGACCCCATCGCTCATCCACCCTGTACCTCCCTCATTCCACCTCTTCATCATCTTTAAATATAACTGTTCTTCAGTCATACACAAGTCTTAAAAAAAGAAACCTTTCAACTCTGAATAAATGTGCAAAATTTTGTTGCAACCTTGGCTTGTTTTTCCAGAGAGGGAGTGTTTTCCATCTCCCTTGCACGTGTTGCTGAATCCTTTTAATCTCGTGCCATTCCAGCCTCCTCTTTTCACATTTGACATACCACCCAATAAAGCCCGGCCACTAATTAAAACCTACTGTAGCCACCACATAAAAGATTCCATGGGGAAAAACTCAGAGGAAAATTACTAATTACTTTAATATCATTTATGTCTGGGAGTCGTCAAAAAGGCAGAGGTTTGGACATATTTTTCAAATCTTACACTCTGTATCAGCCATGCGTTTCCAACATTTTGAGTTACTGCCTGATCTACAGATTTGTTTGTAACATCTCATCCAGAGGGCTTCTGGGGATGGGTTTTGGGTTGTGCTTTGAAAAGAAATGCTTCTTTTTTTCTCAGTTGAGCCAGTTTAGATCTGGGTTTGTTCTGGTGTGGTTTGTTGAGCATGTTGTTTATGGTGAGGGCCTATACTTTCTGGAGTTTGATGAGCTTCAAATAAAACGGGACCAAATGAATGGGCCTGTCAGTAGGGGTTACACTTGTGCTGAGCTGAGGTTCAAGTATGTCAGTGAATCTGAACTAGCGCGCACACACACACACACACGCACACCCGTGACCATACACGGATGCATGAGGACATAGATTCTCTCTTTTAGAGACACTCATCAAGTTGTCTGTCCTTGAAGAAGCACACGACTCAAGCCGTGATTTTAACCACACCGGGCTGCCATGTGAGGGAAGGCTGCATTTTATGACAGCGGCAAACGATAGCTGGTTTTATTTTAATGGCCTGGTTTGTTTGTTTTAAAGGCACGGTAATTCTGTCATGACTTCTAGCTTGTGTCCTGCACAGTTGGTAGTGTTGGCTGCCTTCATGTAAGCTGCCGGAGTAAAGTACAGTTTAAATATTTTGGTTGGCCCCACTTTGTATCGATTTAGCAGCATATCGGCGGAAACTTCACACTGGCACAATTTGGAGTTTCTCAAGTCAACTGTGAATTTTTTTTGTTTAATCCGGACTTAACTTCAATTAAATAAATTAAAGTGTTTCTACTGAACGACTTGAAGTAGCATTGGAAGATGTTAAGATGAGTCAAAATGAGTAAGTGGTCTCAAACCCCACTGATTTGAATCAACAAATTAAGTGGACATCAGTTTTGAGTTCTTTGATATGAGATATTACTTTTGTAAGTGATTGTTTGTTGTTTCAACGATTCAGCTCTCATTGCACGATGCTGACATTAACAGCCAATGTAATGTTGTGGGTATTTTCTTTTTATTTAATTTTGCCCCAGTGATTTCGTATGATAATGTTTTCAAATTGACTTTTAGGTCTTTCAAACTCTACTCACCAAGTTTGCAACTTTCAAATAAATTTGTGGTTTTACGAGCCCAATTTGAAATGACCTTCATGGTGTAGTTAAGAGCCAATTAAGACAAGTAATCAAGACAAGTTGGTGTTTGCATGATAACCTCTTAATACTGGGAAGGGTTGCCAATGTTGATGACTGTATTTTCGTTGTAGGATTGCTGCTGGTGACCGCCGACACTCTAGGCCATGATTTTCACGTCTTCCAGATCCTCACCCACCCATGGGCGTCCTCACAGAGTGCCGTTCACCATCTCTATACCTTGCATCGTGGGGAAACTGAGGCCAAGGTCTGAAACACACACACACACACACACACACACACACACACA